GAACTTGAGTAGTTCTTGAATCACCAAAATAAATAAATTCTTCTTCTTGTTCTTCGACTTGGGTGTAGGACAAAAAATAACTTTGTTAGCACAAATATGTTTAGTAACACAAGAGTCTAACACCCAATATCTTAAATTAGCCATAAGATTCACTTGAGAAATGACCGCAACAATTACATCATCCGCTAGTCAAATTTATTTTTGACTTTGCAGGATTATCATTTCTCTCGAATCCTCTTCTACATTGAGAAATATATGATGGCTTAGTATGCCCCCACAAAACAATTATTTTCCGCAAAAGTTTGATCTCAAATAAATAACTCATAGTTATATGAAGAAAAATCAGTCATTATTCAACATTCACCCAAATGACCAAGAGATAAGCAAAGATTATTTTTAGATCAAACTTTCAAAAGGAAGCGTCCAGATTCATATTTTCTGAAAGTGTCTAGATTGATTTTATTGGGCATTTTGTGCCTTTATTACTTCATACAATAATGGATCATTATTCCATATTTGTAACCGTTAGACCATTACTCACCCATTATAACCTCTTGATTCCGTTCACCTATATATATGCACATTCTTTCCTTTTGTGAGGCTAAGTATACAGAAAATACTCTCCTTCCTTCTGCTAGATTTTCTACCAAGAATGAATTTTTGTTAGTTTCTGCTCCTAGTTTTATACTAGAAGAGCTTGTTGAATCCTGGAGGATACCACCCAAACCGGGTGAAATATCCTTAAGGACAGTGTCTTCGACATGCCTCAAGCTTTGAGAATTCCCTACAAGTTTCGTGATCAAGTATTTTCCGTAAGATTTACAACAATTTCAACCACCTCCTTCCTCTTTCACTGAGAACCTTCTTCTTCCTCACTTTTATGAGAAGAAGTTGCCAGAAAAACTGAAAAGAAGCTGGCAGTGGGGTGAGGGCAGGGGATGTGAAATGAGAAAGAAGTGGTCTGGAAACCCGTACAACCATACATCTTTGAAGGATTCACTAATTTCATATTCAAAACCTGCATTTTAGACTAGCAGCCTGCAGACATTTATCCCCTGGTAGATGTTTGTATTTGTCTTCTTCTTTATGCATTAAAAATTGCATTTACGAAAAAAATTAACCCTCAATTCAGCATCCTAATTGGGGAGTGTAGATTTGAATGGGGTGGGGGAAGGGGGGAACTGTTTTCTGTTCTTTTCAATATGGTATTCCTTTTTCCTTAAAAAGTTACATGTAGCAGTCAATGATTGGTTCATTAGACACGTCACCACAAGGGTGTTTCACGTGCTTGGTCTTATGGACACAGGTGTTCGCGAAACACACTTTTGTTGCGTAAAAATGTTCAGATGGTCAGTAATTAAGTCGAAGTTTCTAACTGACAAGTCGTGCCAACTTTAAGGGGCTATCTAGGTATTTAGCCTTTCAACAATGAAGATAAACATCGAGTTACCTCATCATTGAAAGTAGATGAGTTGCATGAGTACAAGGCTACATCTAAATTTTACTGCTAAAGTTAGTGTGAGCAAGGTTACTATCAGGTGCAAACTGAATCGATGATTCCTGAAACAGATAACAGTTATGTTCTGGATAAGAGTCCCTTGAGCCAGCCATATTTCTCAACACCTCACCCTGTGGTGATAGCATCACGCACAGGAAAATTATTGGTAAAAGTCTTTAAGCTGAAGATCCAGTATAGTTTGTTATAGAACTCCATTGGGAGTAGCTACGTAACAAGTACTCAGTTAGAACATGAGATTCCCAAACTTGGAAACCAATAAGAGGATATACCTGTCTCATTTTAGAAATATTGTTAATTTTTCCCAGATATATCCAGTATGAGTGAGACACGGTCACCTAGAACTGTTTGCTATCCAGTGGGCCAAGTTGCTTATATTCTGGACTAACTAAATTGGAATTTCATTTGAAATCTTGAACGTTTCTGGGATATGCAACTATAGAAGCTCCTGAAAGTGACAAATGGAAATAGATGCAGTAGTTTTTTGATCAGTGCATTCCTCATTAATTTCGAAACCATACAAGCCTGGCCAGCCTATTATGTGTGGCCAAGACCAAGGCAAGCATGGAAATCGTCTCCCTTGCAGTATTATAAATAATCTTTCCTTCTTTAGCCATCTAAACTGATCCTTTGACGCCAGGGGCTTCTCTAGTGCAGGTTCCTTTTCGCCTTTGTTGCTCCACTAGTACATGCGTGGAAACTTCCTGGGAGATGTGAAGTAAAACAATTGTTTGAATCTCGATTTAAGCTGAAACTGATTAATTGGTATTAGTTTGTCAATTGGGTTTGGGTTACTCTTCTTGTGCCAAGTGATTGTTTCTGTCTGCACATGGTATAGTTCTCCTCGGTCAACTTGAATATGTTTCTCTTGGTGCTGAACTTACAATAGATAGTTTTGGGCTGGCAACAGAATTTGCAGATCAACAGCTTGATGACTACGTTGAGACGGATTCTGATTATTTCTTTTTATCTTGTTTGTGTGCTGTTTTGTCTGTGAGGCCAATTGCTAACTTAATTTCCTGGTAAAGAGAGAGCTCCTCTTCCAATTTGAATGTTGGTTTAACTTCACCTTTTCATTGTCTTTTTCTTGTTCAGTAGAAAGGTTCCAGCATCTCCTTTTTATTAGCATTGGGTTGATCTTACCGACTTATCTGTCTCTCTATCCTGAATTCATGAGATCTGTTGTGCTGGATGTCTGTTCTACGTAACCTCCAGAATGGAAAAAAGAAAATTGTCTTTAGGCACTATTCATCTGGAGTGCTCTATTCATGCTCAAATCTTTTTCTGTATACCCGCTGGTGTAAACTTCATCTGATTCTGGTTTCTTTGTGTGGCCAAGTTTAACATTTTGTTCTTTTTCCTCTCGTGTATGGCAACTCCAGAAAAATATCAATAGAGGAGAAGAGAAATCTAGGAATAGCTCTCACGAAGTTATCTCCCGAAGATCTTAGTAAGGCTCTGGAGATAGTAGCGCAAAATAATCCACTATTTCCAGCCTCGGCAGAAGAGGTGGAACTTGACATTGATGCTCAGGTTTTCATGAGACTTTAAACATATCCCCTTTTCAAGAATTTTATATATGGCTCTTGCATATTTTAAAAAGTTCTCTTTGTGGTTTCTGTAGAGTGAATTGACATTGTGGAGGCTAAAATTTTTCGTCAAGGATGCATTAGAAGTTCAGGGCAAGAGTACAAGCAAAGGTGATAACAGTAACTCGGTCAATCCTAATATTAGTGCTGCCTCCAAAAGAAAAAAGGAGATTTGTGATGCTCTTGTGAAGAATGCCAAGAAACGAAATAAAAAGCCATCTAAATGAACTTGTTTATGAAATGGCTATGCAGTTCTTGTGTATCATCAGGAATGCTTCATTTGACTAATCTTCGTTGAATCTAAAAGTTTTTGACAATTTTCCAGACTCTGGAGGAGAAAAGGGAAATGATATTGGTGTTTGATTGGTCAAATTAACCACGTCTCTGAGTGTTCAACTTAAATGCGCTCCACTTTTTAGGAAAATAACACCAAGTAAAAATTTTTAGAAAAAAGAAAACAGCAGATGTATTTTTCTCGTACTCCTAGTTGCAAAATAGTCCGCAGTAAATCAAAACAGATTTAACAACCGAAGTTCAACTGGGACAATCCCTTTTGAAAAAGTGGAGGATATGCTTAGTTAAAGTTAAACGAACAAATGTAACTACTGAATCTCACAAATTCTGGACGCCATTCTAATTTTTTTTTTTTTTTTTTTATAAAAATAATTCTCCCTCTACCCCATTTTGAGTGGATTAATTTGATAAATTCTAAAATGATACTCGGCCTCAATTGTTCAGAAGTTCGTAAAACAATCATATGCAACAAATAAATTAGGAAATTATATGTTCTAAAATATAAGATACACATGATAATTTAGGACGTGAAGCACGCACCATGTCCTTGAAACTACAATAAAGTAAATATAAGTTCATTTATCTAGTTAGCAAATTTATTGACGCCTCCACCACCGGTAAATATTTACTTGCAAGTGATGTTTATACCAAATCAATATATTACTTAATTATTGTTAAGTAAGAGAAATATATCTTCGGAATAGGGCTATTTAAGGGGAGAAGATATTATCCGTACCGGTATCGGTCCGGATTGGGGATAGGGGTAGGGGATTTGGGTAATTTGAAAGGGGAATGGGAGGGTACCGAAAAAAGTACATGTAGAACCGGTCTGGTTGGTACCCTTAAGGTACCGAAACTCACCCGAGCCACCTGGGACCTCGTCCAATTATACCAACAAGTTCATAAATATAATTCGATTCTACTCGAGGTCTCAGAACACATAAAATAACATCACAACCAAGAATCGACCCCAAACCAAACTAATCAACTTCTAAACTTCAAATTTCTTCCAACTAACTCCGAACGCGGCGAATCATACTTAGACAACTCGGAATGAAACCAAATTTTACACACAAGTCCAATATGACAAAACGAGCCTACTCCCAGGCTCAGAATACCAAACGGGGTCCGATAATACCAAGGTCCACCCCAAGTCAAACTTAGAAAAGTCTAAAACCTTCAAAATGCCAACTTCCAACAATAAACGCAGAAATGCTCCTTGTCTACCCGAAACTCGATCCGAACATACACTCAAGTCCAAAATCACCATGCGAATCTATTGGAACCTTCAAATTCCGATTCTGAGGTCATTTACTCAAAGTGTTAACCTAAGTCAAATTTGACCACTTTAGGCCACTGTTACGGAACTAAGTGTTCCGATTTCAACCTCAACTCTTTCAAATCCAAACCAACTGCCCCTGCAAGTCATAAAATGAGAAAAGAACATATGAAAAGTCTTAAATAGGGGAATATGGTTCTAGAAAGCAAAACGATCGATCAGATCGTTATATTCTCTAGCTCTTAAACAAACACTCGTCCTCGAACGAGTTTAGAATCATACGTGTAATGCCGAATAAGTATGAATATATGTGCTACATGTCCTACTCGGTCTCCCAAGTCGTCTCCTCGACTAGCTGACCCCTCCACTGAACTTTCACAACTGAAATCTCTTTCGACCTCAACTTGCTAACCAGCCTGTCAACAATGGCAACCGGCTCCTCCTCGAAACTCAAACTATCATCCATTTGAACTGTGCTATGATCCAATACATGGGATATGTCGGCATGGTACCTCCGGAGCATATACACGTGAAATACAACATGAACTACCAATAGTCTAGAAGGCAAAGAAAGCCTGTATGTGACCTCACCAACTCGCTCCAAAACCTCAAACGAACCGATGAACCTCGGATTCAACTTGCATCTCATCCCGAATCTCATGATACCCTTCATCGGTGAGACTTTCAAAAGTACCTTCTCACCCACCATAAACGACAAATCACGTGCTTTCTGATCTGCGTAACTCTTCTACCTGGACTAAGCTATGCAAAGTCGCTCTTTAATCAACTTTATCTTATCCAAAGCATCCTTTACCAAATCAGTACAATACAACCTAGCCTCGCCAGGCTCAAACCAACCGATACGGGAACGACATCGTCGATCAAGGCCTCAAATGGATCCATCTCGATATTGGACTGATATCTGTTGTTATAAGTAAACTTGTCCAATAATAAGAATCGGTCCCACTGCCCTCCGAAGTCAATCACACATGCTCTGAACATATCCTCCAAAATCTCAATTGTCTGCTCCGACTGCCCGTCGGTCTGCGGATGAAAGGATGTGCTGATCTCTACCTGGGTACCCAACTCACTCTGTACTGCTCTCTAGAAATAAAAAGTGAACTTATTGCCTCGATATGAAATAATGAAAATAGGCACGCCATGCAACTGGACGATCTCTTGGATATAAATCTGGGCCAACCTCTCTGAAGTATATATAGCAATCACTGGAATAAAATGCGCAGACTTGGTAAGTCTATCGACAATAACCCAAAAAACATCAAATTTTCTCAACGTCCGTGGCAAACCAACCACGAAATCCATAGTGATGCGCTCCCATTTTCACTCCAGTACCATCTGCTGAAGTAAGCCACCTGGCCTTTTTTGCTCGTACTTAACCTGCTGGTAATTCAAACATCTTGACACATACTAAACTATGTCCTTCTTCATCCGCCGCCACCAGTAATGCTGCCTTAGGTCACGATACATCTTCATGGCACCTGGATGAATGGAATAAAACGAACTATAAGCCTCCTATAGAAGCGACTCCCTCAGGTCATCAACATTTGGAACACATAAGCGACCCTGGATCCCAGAACATCATCATCTCCGATAGTCACCTCCTTGGCATCACCTCGTAGTACCGTTTAGTCACCTCCTTGGCATCACCTAGTAGTACCGTCTCTCTAAAAACCAACAAGAGCATATTATTATATTGATGAGAATTCGCTCGAATAAAGAAGACTGAGCCACAACACATGCAAGATCTCGATTGGGCTCTGAAATATCCAAACTCACAAGTCAGTTAGCTAAGGACTGAATGTCCAAAGCCAATGGCGTCTCCTCCACTGGAATGTGCGTCAAACTACTCATACTCTCGGCCTTTCTGCTCAAGGCATACACAACAATATTTGTCTTGCTCTGATGATAAAAAATGGTGACATCATAGTCCTTCAGTAACTCAAGCCACCTGCACTGCCTCATATTAAGATTCTCTTGCTAAAACAGATGCTGCAAGATGCGGTGATTGGTGTAAACCTTACACGACACTCCATAAAGATTATGCCTCTAGATCCAGAGAGCATGAACTATCGCAACCAACTCCAAATTGTGCACAGGGTAATTCTTCTCATGGGGCTTCAACTGACGAGAAGTATATGCAAAAACTCGCCTCTTCTGCATCATTACACAACCTTCCCAATGCGTGAAGCGTCAAAATACACAGTGCACATCCCTGAACCGGAAGGCAAAACCAACACAAGTATTGTAGTTAATGTGGTATTGAGCTTTTGAAAGCTCATATCACAATCATCGGACCACCTGAACCGAACACCATTCTAGGTCAATATAGTCAAATGAGCTACAATAGACGATAAGTCCTCCACAAACCGATGATAGTAACTTGCTAGACCCAAGAAACTGTTGATCTTGGTCACTGTGGTAGGACGAGGCCAACTCTGAACTGCCTCGATCTTCCTGGGATCTACCATAATACCCTTACCTGATACAACATTCCCCATGAAAGCCACAAAATCTAACCAGAACTCGCACTTGGAGAACTTAGCATATAACTTTTGTTCCCTCAAAGTCTGAAGCACTATCCTCAAATGTTGCTCGTGCTCCTCCATGTTATGCGAGTAGATTAATATGTCATTATTGAGTCAAGATAAAGCATGAACACTCGATTCATTAAATCCATAAAGGTTGCAGGAGCATTAATCAAGCCAAAGGACATCACTAGTAACTCGTAGTTCCCATATCTAGTGGGAAAAGCCATCTTCGGAACATCCGAATCAGGAATCCTCAGCCGATGATACCCAGATCACAACTCAATCTTCGATAACACCCTTGCACTCTGAAGCTGATCAAATAAATCATTAATGCGTGACAATAGATTCTTATTCTTGATGGTGACTTGATTCAGCTAGCGGTAATTAATGCACATCAGCATACTACTATCCTTCTTCTTCACAAATAACACCAGTGCGCCTTAAGGCGACATACTCGACCTGATGAATCCCTTCTCGAGCAACTCATGAACCTTCTAGTTCAGCTCTCTCAACTCCGCGAGAGCCATACGATAAGGCAGAATAGAGATAGGCTAGGTTCATGGTGCCAAATCAATACCAAAATTGATATCGCGGTCCGGTAGCATGCCTGGTAAGTCAGCAGGAAATATATCGTAAAAATCCCACACCACAAGAACCGAATCTAACGCGGGAGTCTCCACAACGGTATCTCGAACAAAGGCCAGATAGGCCAAACAACCCTTCTCAACCATATGTCAAGCCTTCAAGAAAGAAATAACCTGACTGGATGCACTACTAGATGAACCTCTCCACTACAACCTAGGAAACTATGGCATCAATAAGGTAATAGTCTTGGCATGGTAATCTAGAATGGCATGGTATGGATACAACCAATCCATGCCTAGGATAATATCAAAGTTAATAATATCAAGCAATAGAAGATCCGCTCTGATCTCATACCCATAGTAAACCCGATCCACAATAATAGAATCACCCATCGATGTGGACACATATACAGGAACACCCAAGGACTCACGAGATATATCCAAATAAGGAGCCAAAAAAAAATATACATAGGAATAGGTAGACCCTGGATCAAATAGTACTGGAATATCTCTACGGCAGATGAAAATGATACATGTGATCACGGCGTCTGACGCTACTGCCTCTTGTCTAGCTAGAAAGGCATAGAATCTAGCTGGAGCACCACCTGACTGGCCTCTACCTCTAGGGCAACCCCTACTCACCTGCACTCTACCTCTGGTCGGTCGGATGGGTGGTGCGACAGCTGGTGCAATAGTCATGTGCAAATGGCCCTGCGGCACTCCCTTGCCCCAAAGTTTGGTACAAAACCTCTTCACGTGACCAAACTCTATGCACTCGAAGCAACCTCTGAGTGTGGGAAACTGCTAACTCTAGATTTGGCCCTGATAGCCTGAGTACCCACTAGAGGAACCCTGAATAGCTGGTGCATGGTAGATACTCTTTTAAATGTCACTGAAGTAAGGTCGTGCTGGAGCACCCCCGAATAGGCTGTGGTGCTGAATACATAGGCCTGCTAGGATGGCCCCTAATGAACTGATCTCTTCCCCCAACCGGGGCGCCACTGAACCCTCCAGAATGCCGAGGCCATTTATCTCGCAACATGAACTCTCTAACATGGCTGTAGATACGCTCGATCCTTCGAGCTACCTCCACTACCTAGAGGAAAGAAGTCCCCAACTCTGCCTCTCGGGCCATAGAAACCTGAATCCTATAGTGAAAGCCCGTAATAAAACTCCGCACTCTCTACCTATGTAGGAAGTATGATAGTTGCATGACAAGACAACTTAGTGAACCTCACCTCATAGTCGGCCATAGTCCCTAGACGTCTGACCCTGCTGGAGTCACTCTAACTGACCCCGTAACTCCTCCCTCTGTGAAGCAGGAATACACTTCTCCAGGAAGATGTGCATGAATTGATCCTAAGTCAAGGAAGGTGAACCTGTTAGCCTAGTCGTAAGATAAGACTGCCACCATCTATGGGCCTTCCACTCTAGATGAAAAGTGGTGAAGTCTACCCCATTGGACTCTACTAGTCCCAAATTATGCAGCCTCTCCCTAAAACGGTCAATGAAATCTTGTGGATCCTCTGACTGCTCACTTCTAAAGTGGGGAGGATGAAGCCTAGTAAATATTTCCAGCCATTTCTGCTCCTAAATGGTCGCGGTTGGTCTGGTATCTACCCTACCCATTACAATCGGCTAAACTCCGCCCGCAGGTAGTACCCCTAGGGTTTGATAAATGAAAGCAACATGTCCTGGCGCATAAGTGGTAGGGGTCTGTGCTCCCCCTCCTGCTTGAGATGTGGATGGGTCTGATGGAAATAATCCGGCCTGAGTCATAGAGTCCATGAATTGCAGCATATGACCCATGACCTTCTGGAATCTTAGCGCGGTCATGAACTCTGTCAGAGCCTGCTCGACTACAGGTATCTCATCCCGCTCCTCAATAATAGGATCCTCCATCGGTTCCACTAGTGGTGCCACTAGGGTAACTCTGGGATGCCTTTGTCCCCCAGTAGGAGCTTTGGCCCTCCCTCGGCCTCTGCCTTTACCTTTGACGACCGGGGGAGCAGACCCTCTACCACCAGATGATGCCATCGCACGTGTTCTCACTATTTGTGAGAGAATAAGAGAAAGATTTAGACTTAGAACAACATCGATATCACAATAGGAAATGATGAAAGAGAAGTTTCCTAGCACCCTATAGCCTCTTGAAGATAAGTACAGACATCTCTGCACCGATCTTCAAGACTCTACTAGGTCTGCTCATGACTTGTGAGACCTATGTGAACCTAGTGCTCTGATACCAAGCTGCCACGATCCAATTCCCACCATAGGCCATGATGTCTTCCAACTCTATCGTTAGGAAAGCCAACGATGAACCATCAACACAAACAACTATTCATAAAACATTTTGAAACTAAGAATTACAATAATAAAGCAGAGATAGGTTTAGAAACCATGATAAACTACTTTCATTCTTAATAAGTCATGATATATGAAAAAAACATAAAGCAAAATGATATAAATATCAAGTACAACTATGAACATCTACTAAAAATTCTCAAACTCAGTGTCACAAGTGTATGAGCAACTAATAG